CTGGCCCAGGATCCTCAGAGCGTGCTGTTGTTTTCGGTCCCATCCCCGAAGGCGACTTCGGTGCTGGAGTTTCGCTCTTAGCCTTCGGTTGGAGTGGGAGCGGGGGCTTCTTAGCCCCCTTCATGTATATCTTTTGGGAATCCATCAGCATCTGGCGAGTTGCCTCGCGTGTGCGTTCCTCTGCTATTCGCATACGTTCCTCATCCGCCGCAACTCGCTGGGCCTTCTGACCATCCTTGGCTGTCGGTTCTGGCTGTTGGGACTGGCTGGAAACGCCGGGCGAGTTTCCTCGCATTCCAGGAAGGTTAAAGAGCGCGTCTTTTTCTTCCTGGGTCATGGGCACCAGTCCCCTTGGAGCTGGAGGAGGCTTATCCTCTTCGTCTTTCGGCTCCATGTGACCCCAGATCCCGAGACGACGATTGATCTCTGCGATCTCGTCCTGTGTCATAGGGATCAGTGGCGGATGGCCCTCCTTATGAGGAGTGCGGCCCCTGTTTGGACTCAAACCTTCTTTGTTTCCTACGGGGTATCCTGGCCTGTGGTTCTGGAACGGCCCAGAACATGGCCCGCAAACTGCCTGAGGCCTACACAGCTTGCGGGCCGCGATGATGTTTCGCAGTTGCGTCCGCACTTCCTCAATTTCAGGGCGGCGGATGTTTGTTGCAAGCTGATAGCCTCCGCGGATGGACTTACCCTGAGCGCCCCTATAGGCAGGGTTGCCTTTGCCGAAGGCTGAGTGTTCCCCTTTTCGGCGTCTTGGGTCATTATATGGAAGTAGTTCGCCTCCTCGCCTGAGAGCGTGTTCCTTTGGGCCAGCTTGCCTCCACTCACGAGGAAGCCGAGCCTGTGGATGTGGCTCTCCTCTGACGCGCGGATGGGAACGAGACCTTCCAGCATTTTCATCAGAAGAGGCTGCCGAAGCAGCCTGAGTGGAAGCCGGCGGAGGCGCCTGCGGGGGCTCCTGTGCGATCCCAGGTGGATCGGCTAATAAAGGCGGGTTTCCCTGCTGGCTGGAGCCTGGCGCAAATGGCGCTTGTGCCGATGGTGATGGTGCATCAGGCTCATCGGGATCAAAGTCCACCTCTTCCTCACCGGTGACCTCCATCATGAGGATCGTGGCTTCATCCTCGCATAGCCCGCAACCATCGCCCTCTTCTTCTTCTGATGTAGAACTGCCAATGATGATGGCCATTGGTGCAGCCGGGACGGGCAGGTTTCCCTGCATAGCCGGCGTCTGAGCGTCGCTCGGCTGTCCCGGGGTAGGCGGCACGGTTGTCGGCTCAGGCTCGTTGCCGAGCACAGGCTGCCCAGCAATGTTGCGCATGGCAATATGATTTGGCCGTAGTCCCGCCGCCTGGAGACCCCATCCTGGCGGAGGAAGAGCCTGGCCGCGCATGGCGATGGCCCTTTCAAGGGCCTCACGCCATCTCCCTCGGGAGTACCACACATGCCTCGGCACGTCCTCAGGGTGAACGCTGTCGATAAGAGTCAAGGCTGCCAACGCTAACTCCGAGTCGTCGCACGCGTCAGTGTCATGCAGCATCGTGTTACCAGCCTCGATGCTTTCTTGACTCTCAGGGTATGCTATGGTCAATATCTCGTGCATCCTCATGAGGGTTTGCAGTGGCGTGCGTGGCCCGTACTCGCCTGGCGCAAGCGACCCAGGGGGAATATATGGGTTCCCTGGTGCGCCCGCAACAAATGCTTGAGACTCCATTTCTATAAGTTCAGCGTAGTTTCGGGGATAGGTAGGCCCGTTTCCAGGCGGGAGGTCGGGTGGAGGTTGAAGGTTGCGGTCAACCTCTGAAGGCGAGGCCTCCACAGTGACGTCCTCGTCACTGCTCTCATAGGCCATGATGTTGCCTGGGTTCCCGAACATCCAGTCGAAGAAAGATAAAGGCTGGTTTCCCAGCGTACCGTGTTCCACGGGAGTGAGCTCGTTGTTGCCAACAATGAACCGGCGGACGTACTCGAGGTAGTACGCGTACAGTCCATGACCATACGCCTCGAGCTCGTCGACGTTGTCCATGCAACTGACCCAAATGTAAAATATCTGTTCCATGGCCTCAAAATCCGGGAGGCTCAGATATTCGATGAATGGTTCACTTGAGCCAACATGGACTTCGGTCGACCTGCCCTAACCATTTCCCTTCGCTGGACAATCTCTCACAAGATGATCAGTACTATCACACTCATGGCACTTTAGGACCTGGCCGTCTCTACCTCGCGGGTTTCCCCGCCTACCTTTGCCTTTTGCTGAGGTCTCTCTACGGCCTTTGCCACGGCCCTTTCCCCCGAAGAATATCTCATCATACTGTTCATCTGGGAGCCTCTGGAGGAATGCCGTGATGCCTCGTCCATTCAACCTCCGACGACCCCTTTTACCTTTACCTTTTCCCTTGAAGCTCCTCCGTATCCTCCTCCTAACACGACGCACGGGTTTTCGCGTGAACCTCCTCCACCTCCGTTTGGCCTGTTGCAATAACCAAAACAAGTGTTCAGCACGCTGATTATCATTTTCCATATTCATGATATCTGACCAATCTAAAGCTTCAACACCGTCTGATGATATAGTAGCTGTGTCGGTGCCGGAGTCGAAGTCATCGTCTCCCAAGTAGGTGGATACACCGTCGGTTAGGGGGTTTGATTCACCCCATAGAGAACGGTGTGGTTGAGGTTCTCTAGAAGGAGGGCTGGTTGCCCAGCTTGGTTGTGATCGATCTCCTGCTAGTAGAGCAATGGATTCTCCAGGATCATCGGCCCAAATGCTTGAGGGCCCGTTTCCAGGCTGAGCTTCAGTGGTTAAGGTAGTGTAGAAATTCCCACTACCAGATCCCCTTCCCCTTCCAAACACAGATCCTATGTTGCCAGGAGACCGTTCTGATAGGTGACCTATCGAACGCATCCTCTCCAGCAACTCGTCATACTGTTGTTGTGTTCGTGGCATTTGATGATTGAGTGGCTGTAAGAGTTGCACGGCTCGCTGGTTGCCGACGCCTAAGGCGCGGAACAGGATCGTGGTTAGTGGTTGGAAGTTGGGAAGGTCAAATCCCACCGACTGTGCCTCAAGTCGGGCCATTTCGAATCGGGTAATTCGTTCTCCGTGAGGCACATGGAAGTCGATGAGCTGTGTGCCGGAAGTGAGCTGGCGCTCATCTTCCAGGCGCTCGAACTTCATGCTTAGGAGGAACATGATGTAGGTCACTGGGTCGGTGTGGACCCCATCGATGTCAGCGCCATAGTTTATAATGTCAGGTGGTACCCTCATGGCGGGTGTCCTCGCTAGGCCACCCAGGCCGCGTTGTATGGCGGCCGCTTGGGCCTGTGGCGTCATGCGTCCGCTTGTGACGTTGAGCCACGCGTTGACCTCATAAACGTACTCACGAAAATGTACGTTGCCTTGAGGGTCCCAGTATGGGCCATGTGTTTGCCCATCGGTGTTGTTCTCTCCGCGGCGCATGTGTCCGATTGCTGCCCCCAGCGCGAACCATATGATAGCGAAGATAACCAGCCCAAGGCTGTGTAGATAGGGGTGGTTATTAAGCGCGTTGCCGCGCTGGGGTGGCGCCTTGTCAAGTCTTCGAGGCGCTCTATCTGGCGGATTTCTCCGCCCATGCTTCAAGTACTGCGCTTTTGGCTCGTTGCCGAGCGGTTGGTAGTAGCGCAGTGATGAAGTGTATATGGTACCAATGTTATTGTCTAGACGTCGTACCTCTCGTGTTGCTTCTTGCTCTTGGATAGATCCTCGTAGACGTACTGGGAGTGGTAGCGCAGGGTGGTAGGTGGTCACGAGGATCGTGCCGAAGAGTATGAGGATGAGAAGAGCAAGAGCTGACCACACGAGAGTGCGGCCAGCTCCGCTACCAAGTCGAAAGTGAGCCTGGTAGGTCAAATAGCATCCGTCTCCATGGGAGGCGGATGAGCTCACATTGCATCCAATTCCATGTCGAAGGAATACGATATGGGGAGTGGATGGGTAGGATAGGATAAGATCGATGTATCGGTCTTTCCAGCACATAGCGAACACTAAGGTAAGTGTCCGGGCAAATCGGGCGCGCGTGCCTTTAGCCAACAGCAACGGCGCGCGAGCTATACTCCCGATTCTATATGACATCTCCCATAGAGCTACCCTTAAAGTAGGAGGGCCTCTTGGGGGCCTCACGAAAGTGTTTGAAGGGCTTGTTGGGGCCTTCTGGAGGCCTCATGGGTTCCTTCTGTGGGCCTCTGGGGGCTTCCCTGGGCCACCCTGCTTCCAACCACGGTTTCCCTGAACGACCCAGTCATGATTTGGAATGATTGAAGGGGCGCCTTGGGGCCATCCTGGGGCCCTGTTGATCCGTCTTGGGGCTCCTCCTGGACTGCCGGGAAACCCTCTTGGTTAGTTAGGGGGCGATTCACTGGCCTCCTGGGCAGTCCCGGGCGCCCGGAAGACCGAAGAACTGAGCATTCCCACCATCATGCAAAAGCCATCGGGAATCAATGCTTTTTGCGTTTCGAATGCCTCTTGGGGGTTTCCTTTGGGTCGTCTTCGGGCGTCTGGTGGGTGTCTGGGGCATCTGTGGGGTCTCTCGGGGCCGTTCGACCGCCTTCCTGACTGATTTGGTCCATTTGGGGCCCACTGCCCAAGCCCAGCAGGGGCTTCAGGAGCCCCGGAAAGCACAAGGGCGTCCAGGGGGGCCAGGGATCCGGGAGATCCCGTTCGGGGGGGGGGGGGGGGGGGGGGCAGGGTCCCAGATGGCAGAAATATATATATATATATATATATATATATATATATATCGAAGGGAATATCGCTCTCTCTCTCTATCCTTCTCTGCCTCTCCCTCTCTCTATCCACTTCTCTCTCTCTCTCTGTTTGTTCTCTCTCTCTCTCTCTCTCTCTCCGCCACCCGCCCTCCTCGCCCCCACCTCCTCTCTGGGAGCTTCTCTGCCCCCGCCCGTTCCCCGCCCGTCCTGCCGTCCTGCCCCCGGGGGTCTCCGGCGGGGCGGCAGGCGGCCTCCTCGGCCGACCAGGCCCCGGTTGCAGGGCGCGTCTCCCCTTCCCCTCGCGCCGGACGCTTGCAGGGCGCCGCGCTCGAGTCCCGATCTCGACTCGCGGCGACGGGCCTGCTTTCCACCACCACCACCACCATGAGTTGGAGGGGGAGGGGGGGATCCTCGTCCTCCTCCTCCTCCTCCTCCTCCTCCTCCTCCTCGTCCTTCTCCTCCTCGTCCTCCTCCTTCCTTCCCCCCTCCAACTCATGGTGGTGGCCGTGGAAAACAGGCACAACTCGCTGTGGAGCCGCAGGGAACTCTGCGCAGCCCGATGCGCCCCTCGCCTGTCCCTGACTGCACGTGAATATACGAAGCAACGCTTTATGCCGCCGTGCCGATTCGCAGCCCCGAGTGACACGTTTCCACTTTTACCTTCTGTAGCAACGAAGCAAAACCATGCGATGCAAAACGGCTTGTGCTGGCCGGCGCCATGAAGAGCACAGCAGTACAACGCAGACCGTTTCAAGGCAAGCCAGTGCAACGCACCGGAATCGCAGCGCAATGCAATGCAAAGCAATTCAAGCCAGAGCGAAATGGTGCAATGCAGCGCAATGCAATGCAGCGAAAAGCAACAGACAGCAATGCGAAGCAATTGACAGCTACGCAAAGCAATACAACTCGGCCCCCGAAGGACCTGGCCGGGAGTCGGACATGCACCGATCCGCCCTCGTGCGCAGGAGGGGCGGATACCCCCTCGGGAGCACTCTGCGCAGTGGCATGCAGTGCTGTGCTCTGCAGTGCTGGGCCTCGCTGCGCTGTGCGATGCGGCGTCGTACTGTGCACAATGCAATGATGCGCTTCGCTGCGCTATGCTGCCCTGTGCAATCTTGTTTCCCAGCGAAGGAAACAAGAGGAAGAAGGGGACGACCGTGACACACCTCACGAGGACGCAGGTTGCTAATCTGTGAGGGTGCTGCCCACTGCAGTGCTACTTTGTGCCATGCGTTGCTGCCCCATGCCATTGTATGATATGCAGTGCTACGTTGCGCTACGCTCAGTCACGCAGTGGAATGGAATATTGTGCTACTCACTGGTTTCGTATGTTACGCAATGCAACAAGTATATTATGCAATGCTACGCAATGCTATGCAACGACACGTAACACTATGCACTAGTATGCTGTGCTGCGCCACGCTTTACAGAGCCATGCAATGCATTTGCATGGTATGCCATGCCCCTGCTCTCAGAGATATGTCTTGCCATGCTTGACTATGCAATGCAATGCTTGGCGATGCTACGTCATGGTCCGCAGATCCATGATGAGCAATGCCATGGCTAGCTGGGCTGCGCTGTGCTATGGCGGACTATTCTTAGCAGCTGGGCTAGCTGCGATCCCATGACCTTGACACAATACAACGCAACGCGTTGCGCAACGTCGAATGGTAATGGCAAAGACTGGTGAACCTGTGGGCAACCCCTGGTGACCCGGCGGGGAGAAGGGGCTTGGCCATTGGAACCGGGGCCTCTGGGCAACCCCTGGGAGCACCTGGTGGACAAGTGGTAATCGCGACCGGCCCTATTGCAAACAAACCCGGCGTTATCCGAAGTACAGGTCGTCTCGCTTTCGAAGTAGCGCGTTGCAAAGCAAGGCAAGGAAACACATATACTTTCAAGCAAGTAACGAAGTACGATACAATGCAAAACAATGCAGAGCAAAACAAGCAATTCAAACCAAAGCGAAACCATCCAAAGCAGCGATGTCAAACAATGCCCTCCCAACAGTGCAGCAGATCCAAGTGCAGTACATAGCAGTCCAATGTCAAGCTAGACAATGCTATTCAAGCCATGTTGCCAAACCAACACAAGCATAGTAAAGCAAACCGAGGACTTGCAATGCAGCTCATATCAGACCAACTCGAACAGCTGCAATAGCATAAAGCGCAACACAGAGCAATCAAATCCGAAGTTCAGCAACAAGTGCGGCGCAAAGCCCGAAAAGCAGTACAACGCGCGATGAATAGCAATGAGAAGAGTAGCAATGCATGCAAACCAATGTTATTCATGTCAGCCAGCGCGAATCAGGCACCATACTGCAAACCGATGCAAAATATCAAATCGTCGTATTTGAAGCATAACTTGGGGCAGCCTGCAAGCAACCCGGACAACCTCGAGGACCCTCCCCGGGCCACCCGGAGAACCCTCCCAGCAGCCCCAAAGACCCACCCCATGCAACCCCAGAGGACCTGGTGGGGAGAGGGGCTATCGCCACAAAGCCTCTTGCACGGTAACTGAAGGACAAACTCGAGTTAGAGCTTCTAGGCCAAAACTTAATTGAGGAAACGTGCTGCTGCCGTGCGAAAGCGGGAGCACGCCTGTGACCGCGCACACGGGAACGTGGGCATCCCGTAGTGTGTGTGGCTGGCACAAACACATTATGTGACGCATGCCGTGGCTCCTTCTCTCTCTCTCTCTCTCACTGATTTCACCGAATTGAAGTTCGCCAAGATGTAGGCCTGAGTTGTTCGAATTCAGCAGACTGTTGCCACGGTATCGGCTTGATCACGGATGTGAAACGCGCCAATCAATACAATCCATTGTAAGGCCAACGGAAGGTGCACGTCTCGAATTTCCCGCTTGACGCATGACCAGCAGGTGCTTTGCGAGGTCGTCTGCTGGTGGTTACCGCGAAACTGCGACGCCAAAACTTGCAGTCCCTAGTTGTTAACTGGATGGCGACCTGTGCCCATGCTCCTCCTTCCCCTCCTCCTCTCCCTCCTGCTCCTTCTCCCTCCTCCTCCTCCTCCCTCCTCCTCCTCCTCCTCCTCCTCCTCCTCCTCCTCCTCACTCCTCCTCCTCCTCCTCCTCCTCCTCCTCCTCCTCCTCCTCCTCCTCCCGCCTCCTCCTCCTCCCTCCTCTTCCTCCTGATTCTCCCTCCCCCATTCCTGTCCTCCCTCCTCCTCCTCCTCCTCATCCTCCTCCTCCTCATTCTCCCTCCCCCTCCTCCTCCTCATCCACATCCCCTTGCCTCCTTCCAGCCCTCTGCCCATCTTCCCCCCCTCCTTCTGTGGGCAGCCGCGAGATCAGAAGGGTCAGGAGGTCCGCGCGCTGCTCGTACATCTGCCAGCGCGCCAACAGCGACGCGTACCTGGACGCCGTGATCCGTGGCCGCTCCAGGGGCGGAGGGGAGCCCACCCCGAGCTGGAGGAGGGAAGGACGACGAGAAGGGTGACAAGAGACGGCGGCGACGACGACGACGCTGATCATCACGATGACGATGAAGATGACGACGGCGAGGACGATGACCATGACGGTGACGATGAAGATGACCAGGGTGGTGATGATGATAATGACGATGCGGATGATGACGACGATGCTGATGATGCTGCTGCTGCTGCTGCTGCTGATGATGATGATGATGATGGTGATGATGACGATGCCGACTATGATGATGTTGAAGACGCCGATGTTGGTGTTGATGATGATGCTGATGCTGCTGATGATGATACTGATGATGGCGATGATACTGCCGATGATGATGCTGATGATGATGATGATGATGATGATGATGATGATGATGATGATGATGCCGACGATGACGATGACGACCAAGACGACGACGATGATGATGGTGATGAGGATGCTGCTGATGACGATGACGATGATGCTGATGAGGAGGAGGATGGGGATCATGAGGAGGAGGACAAGAAGGAGGAGGAGAAAGATTTTGAAAACGACCCGCCCTCAATCCGTGAAGCTCTTGTACTTTGTTTAAACGCATATGCGCGGCGCTGAGGCGAGAGCCACATTTTGAAAACGACCCGCCCTCCATATGTAAAACAGTTGTAAGTGTTGAAGCTTCAATGCCATACATGGTGAGGAAGTCTCAGGCGAAACGGCCGGCCCGCCCTAAAATTGGCCTCGGCGTGCGACAGGGAGAAAGTATCTTTAAGGAGAAGGAATGGAGAAGGAGGAGGAGGAGGAGGAGGAGAAGGAGAAGGAGGAATGTGGAGGAAGATGTAGATTGAAAAAGAAAATGCGAAGGATGGGAGGATGAGGAGGAGGGACAGGAGGATAAGGAAGAGGAGCATAGTGGAGAGGAGGATGAGGAGGAGGAGGAGGAGGAAAAGGGGGAGGAGAAGGCGGATGATGATGAGGAAACCGATGACGATGATGCTGATTGCGGATGCTGATGCTGCTGCTGTTGATGATGATCATGATGAGGAGGAGAAAAAGGAGAAGGCGGAGAAGGAGGAGGAGGAATAGGACGAGCAGTAAGAGGAGGAGGAGGAGGAGGAGGAGGAGGAGGAGGAGGAGGAGGAGGAGGGGAGGAGGAGGAGGAGGGAGAGGAGAGGAGGAGGAGTAGGAGGAGGAGGAGGAAGAGAGGAGGAGGAGGAGCAGGAGGAGGAGGAGGAGGAGGAGGAGGAGGAGAACGAGCGGGAGGAGGCGGAGGGGGCCCGTCTGCTGCACCCCCCCCCCGCTGGTGGGGGATGCCGGCGCCAAAAGAGCTCTCCTGACGAAGTCGGTGACCGTCGGGCCTTCGGGGCCTTCCATGCTGTGGAAGCCCCGGCACCTGGGGATGGCCGCCAAAGTGAGGTCCCGCTCCCCTGGGGACCGCCTGGTGCGCTGGTCCCTCGTTTGGGCCCGGGGCCCGGGCCTCTCCTTCCCGGGAGTCGTGCCAGGAGAGGTTTTCGGAGGGGGAGGAGAGGAGGAGGAGGAGGAGGAGGAGGAGGAGGAGGAGGAGGAGGAGGAGGAGGAGGAGGAGGAGGAGGAGGAGAAGCAGGAGGAGGAGGAGGAGGATGATGATGACGATGATGATGATGATGATGATGATGATGATGATGATGAGGAGGAGGAGGAGGAGGAGGAGGAGGAGGTGGAGGAGGAGGAGTAAGAGGAGGAGAAGGAGGAGGCGGGGGAGGAGGAGGAGGAGGAGGAGGAGGAGGAGGCGGGAGGAGCGGGGGAGGAGGAGGAGGAGGAGGAGAGGAGGAGGAGGAGGAGGAGGAGGAGGAGGAGGAGGAGGAGGCGGGGGAGGAGAGGAGCCAAGGGCCTTCCCCCCCTGGGCTCCCCGTTCTTGCGGGCCGCACCGGGCGGCTCGTCCGTCCCCCGTCGTGCCGTCGCCGCCGCAGCCGTCGCCGCTCGCCCCTCCTCGGGCACGCGGGCCCCACGCGGGGCTCCCTGAGCCTCCCCGGCCGGGGCCTCTCTCTCTGGAGGTCGTGCCCGTGGGCTCGACACCGGCCTCCGCGGCGTGAGGCGCGCGCGCGCCGGCGGCCCGCCGCGGCCCCCTGACGGCGCGCTGGCCGCGAGGGATCGGCTCTCGCTGCGTTGAAGGGATGGTGAGGGTGAGTGGGAGGAGGAGGAGGAGGAGGAGGAGGAGGAGGAGGAGGAGGAGGAATAGCGGTTAAAGAAAGACGAGCCATTCTCGCTGGCGCTTGATCCGCGATAAACAGATGCACATACCACTGTGAAGCGTGTTGGTGGCATTACGTATAACGTCTCACGCAAGTCATGATACCTTAGGGTTTGCTGAAGTCGATCTGGAATCCTTGCACTCACGTCAAGCTGGTAGTAGAGGGTGCGACTTTCACGGTATCAAACCCGCAGCTCCGCCCTGTATACATTAACCTTCATTTGCCACATGGGCGCGACCCTGGACTCTGACGATGACCTGTCCTCACGCAAGAAAGGTGGCGAACATGTGTCAGGCACGAGCAGCGACGGCGAGCACTCCAAGTACCAGAACGCCCTGCGAACACCAGATGCAGCATCTCCTGGAGCACGTATCGCCACGTACTGGGATTATGTAAGCTGAGCGAGGGGTGTGTCGGATGGGCGTGGGGACGACTGCCACCTCCTCCCTCCTCCGTGCTCTTCCCCCTCCATCCTCGTGCGCCTCTCCCTCCACCCACGTCCTTTCTGAGGCGAAGGAAAGGATCCGGAGAAGGGAGAGGGCAGAAGACAAACCAGGTGAGCTCGCGCCACATCTGAGATTCTACCCCTCCCGCCCACCCCTTTCCATCGCGATGATGTTTTCTCTATTCGCCGATGGGTGTCATAACGACTTTGAAACTCTAATAGGACACCATCGTGTTATGCCCAATCGGTACATGGGAGCCACGTACGTTGGAGGATGAGGAGGACGAGGAGGAGGAGGCGGAGGTGGCGAATGAGTAGAAGTATAAGCAGGAGGAAGATGAGGAGGGTGGAGGAAGAGGAGGAAGAGGAGGAAGAGGATGGGGAGGAATAGCAGCACCAAGAGCAATAATGGAAGGATCCCGAGGAGCAGAAGAACCAATGAAAGACGGAGCAGGGGAAAACAACGCGGCGACAACGATGAACAAACACACGGATCCAGAAACGTAGCCAGAGCTGGGGCGAAAGAGAGACGCATATCCTAAAATGAAGCTCACACGGTAGCGGGCGCACCATTTTGAGACACCGAAAACGTTCTGATCGAAAACACGATATCACAGACACATGTACGGAATCCTGGGTGTGCGACAACCATGCACATAGAGGACAGGACTCTTCCTTGACGTAGTACAGGGAGGAGGGAAAGTTGCATTCATGTAGGGATTTGTAGAAATCTGCGGGACATGAGGAAAGACGGTGGTGATGATGATGCTAGTGATGTTATGAGGTTGATGGCGATGGTGTCGGCGACGATGGTGATGATGGTGATGAGTATGAGGCGCTACTGTTGCGTCTGTTGTTGCTTCTGATAATGATGATAGTGCTGACGATGATGCTGCTGATGATGCTGATGCACTGGAATGTGATGGTTGTGATGGCGATGCTGCTGATTGCAATGGCGAGGATGATGCTGAACCATCACGATAAAGATGAGAAGCCATATGCAGAACTACTGAATGATGAAGGGGCAAAGAAGGACACGGAAGAGGAGGAGGAGGAGGAAGAGGAGGAGGAGGAGCCAGGGGAAGAGGTGAATGAGGAGGAGGAGGAGGAAGAGGAGGACGAGAGAGAGGAGGAGGAGGAGGAGGAGGAGGGAGGAGGAGGAGGAGGAGGAGGAGGAAGAGGAGAAGATGAAGGAGAAAAAAAGGGGAAGCACTGGGAAAAGAAAGAGGACGAGGAGCACGAGGAGGAGGAGGAGGAGGAGAAGGACGAGGACGAGGATGACACGTGGGCAAAGTGCAGGGGCAAAGGAGGGGGCGCGACTGAGCCGCGTATCGCCGCAGGGCGGCTGGCGGCCGCTCCAAATGTGCGGCGTGGCAGAAGAGCAACGCGGCGCTCTGTATGTCGCCAGTCCTGCCGCGGGTGTGGCGGGGAGGGGGAGGGAGATGGGGACTGGGGGGGGGAGGGGGGGGGGACTCGGGAGGGGAGGAAGAGGAGGAGGAGGAGGAGGAGGACGACCAGTGTAAACCCAAGAGCCATCAACGATGCTGGAATCAACCCTCCCTCCAAGCTCCCTGTTCGTAGGCCCCTACAACGGCTCATGTCCATTGCAGGAACTGTCTCGTTGGAAGACAACCGCTTGAAGACCCTGAAGCATGCCAAAACATTGTTCTCGGGATTCCACCGCCACGGATCATCCTGACGGTTGCGTTTCACCGATCCTGAATCGTGCCAGGCAGCCATTCCTGGGACTTCGACACAACGAACCATCGACACTGTTGCACCCGCGTAATCCTGAATCCTTTCAAACCTCTCTGTTTTGGTACGTTGATGGTGGGAGTCCGTGAAACTTTTGCAATTTTTGGGAACGAATGTGCGCCGCACTAAGGCGAGAGCCCCATTTTGAAAAGGAACCGCCCTCAATGCGCGATTCTCTTGCAAACTTGTCAAACGAATGTGCGCCGCGCTAAGGCGAGAGCCACATTTTGAAAACGACCCGTTCTTAATCCGTGAAGCTCTGGCAAATATTTAAATCGAATGCGCGCCGAGCTCAGGCGAGAGCCCCATCTTGAAAACCACCCGTCCTCAATCCATGAAGCTCTTGCATGTTTCCTTTTTGTTTTAAAGACAAATAGAACAACGAATGTGTGCCACGCTAAGACTAGAACCACATTTTGACACCCACCCGCCCTCCATCTGTGGTTCCGTTGCCAATTTGGAAACCTCCGAATCATAAGTGGTGAAGAAGCATCAGGCGACACGCCCGGCCTGCCCTAAAGAGTGGCCTCGGGGCGCGACATGGAGAGGGTATGGATAAGAAAAAAAATGGAGGAGGAAGAGGAGGAGGAGGAGGAGGAGGAGGACCAGTGTAAACCCAAGGGCCATCAACGATGTTGGAATCAACCCTCCCTCCAAGCTCGCTGCCCATAGGCCCCTACAACGGTTCATTTCCATTGAATGAACTGCCTCTTTGGAAGACATCCGTTTTAAGACCCTGGAGCATGCCAAAACATTGTTCTCGGGATTCCAACGCCACGGATCAACCTGACTGTTGCGTGTTGACTATCCTGAATCGTGCCGCAACGCCATTCCTGGGACTTCAACCCAGCGAACCAACATAAGAGGGTGCGCCGCTGGGAACCCCCCCCCCCTTTCCCGACCCGTCGTCGGGGACCCCCCCCCCTCCCCCCTTTCAAAAGGGGGGGGGGACCCCCCCCACCCCTCCCCCCTCCCCCCCCTTTCGCCACGCCGCCCCCTACTCCGGAACCCGGCCCCCGCCACCGCTAGTCCTCACCCTAACCCAAGCCCCTAATCCTAACCCCACCACTAACCCCAGCCCCAAAGAGTACTCACTACTCATTACTCACTACCCACTACTGACTACTCGCTAGTCGCAACTCACTTCTCAGTACCCCCTACTCACTACTCACTGTCCACTACTCACTACCCACCACCCACTACTCGCCGCTACTCACTACTCCCTACTCACTATTCCCTCCTCACTACTCACTACTCACTACTCACTCCTCACTACCCACTACTCAATAATCACTACTTACTACGCACTATTCACTACTCCCTACTCACTACTCACTATTCACTACTCATTACCCACTACCCACTATCCACTACTCACTACTGACGACTCATTGCCCACAAATCACTAATCACTACCCACTACTCGCTACTCGCTACTCCCTACTCCCTACACAATACTGACTACACGGTACTCAGTACTCACTACTCGCTACTCCCATACTCGCTACTCAATACTCACTATTCACTCTCCGCCACTCACTATTCACTTCTCGCTACTTACTACTCCCTACCCACTAATCACTACATAGTCTCTAGTCACTAGTCACAATTCACTAGTCACTAGTCACTACTCACTACCCACTACTCACCAATCGCTACTCACTACCCACTATTCGCTACCCACTTCCTACTACTCACTACTCACTACTCACTACTCCCTACTCTCTACTCACTACTCACTACTCACTACTCGCTACTCCCTACTCGTTACTCACTAATCACTACCCACTACTCACTACTGACTACTCTCTACTCACTACTCACTACTCACTACGCCCTACTCGCTCCTCACTACCCACTACTCGCTACTCACTACTCGCTACTCACTACTCACTACCCACTGCCCCTACCCACTACTCACCAATCGCTACTCACTACCCACTATTTGCTACCCACTTCTTACTACTCACTACTCGCTACTCACTACTCGCTACTCACTACGCAGTACTCACTACTCACTACTCACTACGCCCTACGCACTACCCACTACTCACTACTCACTAATCACTACTCGCCACCCACTACTCACTACAAACTACTCACTACCCACTACTCATTACTCCCTACTCCCTACTGAGTTCTCACTACTCGCTACTCGCTACTCCCTACTCACTACTCGCCACTCACTACTCACTTATCAGTACACACTACTCACTATTCACTACTCAATACTCCCCACTCCCTACTCCCTACTCGCCACTCACTACCCACTACTCACTACCCAATACCCACTACTCACTACGCACTAACTCACTACGCACTACTCACCACTCCCTACTCCCAACTCCGTACTCCCTACACGAGGGGGGGGGGGGGGGAGTCCGACCCCCCCCCCCCTTCCAGCGCCAAGGGGGGGAGGGGGGGGGGGGTTCTGGACCCCCCCCCCCTTTAGTGTATTCAGGGAGATCCACTAGCGCACCTTCCCAACATAATTGTTGCACCCGCATAATCCAAAATCATTTCAGAACACCATTTCTGGCACGTTGATGATGGGAACCCGTGAAACCCTAATGTATTTTCAGCAAAAACGACGCTGCGCCGTGCTGAGGCGAGAGCTACAGCTTTGAAAGGAACCGCCCTCAATCCGTGATTACCTGGCACACGTATCAAACGAATGCGCGCCGCGCTAAGGCGAGAGCCCCAATTTGAAAAGGAACCGCCCTCAATCCGTTAAGCACTTGCCATTTTCCAATACGAATGCACGCCGCGATATGGCGACATCCACATTTTGGAGAGAAAAAAACATCCTCAATCCATGAAGCTCTTGTAAAATTTCAAACCGACTGTGCGCCGCGCTGAGGCGAGAACCACATTTTGAAAACCACCCGCCCTCAATCCGTAAAGCTCATGAAATTTCAAAACGAATGTGCGCCGCGCTAATGCGAGAGCCACATTTTGAAAACGACCCGCCCTCCATCTCTGAAGCTGTTGTCAATGTTTGAAATTTCAAAGGATCTTAAATGGTGAGAAAGTCTCAAGCGAAACGCCCGGCCCGCCCTAAAAACTGGCCTCGGGGTGCGACATGGATAAATTTTGTATACGGAGAAAGAAAGGAGGAGCAGGAGGAGGAGGGGGAGGAGGGGCGGGGGGCGGGGAAAGGGAAGGGGGGCGGGTGACCGGTGACCAGGGAGACGAGGGGAGAGTTGGGGCTGGGCGACGAGGAGTACCGCGAAGAAGAGTAGGAATAAAGGAGGTCCTCGCCCTCAATCCGTGAAGCTCTTGCAAACTCTTAAAACGAGCGCGCGCGGCGCTAAAACGACAATCACACTTTGAAAACGAACAGCCCTGACTCCGTGAAGCTCTTGCGAACTTTTAAGACGGATGTGCGCAGCGCTAGAGCGAGAGCCGCATTTTGAAAACGGCTCGCCCTCAACCCGCTAAACCCATGCACATATCTAAAACGAATTTGCGCTGCGCTAAAACGAGAATCACATGTTGAACACCACCCGTCCTAAACCCGCGAAGCTCTTGCCATTTGAAAAAAAACGAACGCGCGCGGCGCTGAGTGGAGAGCCACATGTTAAAAACGACCCGCCCTCACTCCGTGATGCTCTCGCACGTTGTTCAACGAATGTGCGCGGCGCTCACGCGAGAGCCACATTTTGAAAATCACCCACCCTCCATCTGTGAAGCAGTGGTCAATGTTTAAGCTTCAAGCGTCGCAAATGTTGAGGCAATCTCAACCGAAACGCCCGGCCCGCCCTTTCGACCGGCCTCGGGGTGCGACGGGGAGGGCTTAGTTATAAGGAAAAGGAATGGAGGAGGAGGTGCGCCCCTCTAAAGACTCCCTACCTCCCCACCTCCACCCACTCCTCTCCCATTCCTCTCTGCCATCCCCTTCCCCCTTGCCCCATCGTTCCTCCCTCCTCGCTCCTCTCTTACCCCTCCTTCTGCTGCTACTGCTCCTCCTCCTTTTCAATACTCCTGCCACATTCCACCTCGCCGATGACACACCGTGTCAAGCCGTCCACTCTCTTGCTCTCTTGCCCTCTATTTCTCTCTCTCATTCCTCTTGCTCGTTCCCTCCCCTCTTCTCCCACCTCCCCCTTCCCCCGCGTCTGCATGGCGGGGCCCAGAAGCACTGGGGATGGCCGTAGGAATCTTCGGCTGTGTGATTACCTGGTCGGGGGAGGGACTGCTGGGGCATCCCACCTCCCTGTAATGCAGTCTCGGGCGAGCGGTCTGGGGGTCCAGGGGCGCTTGCTTGCTGTTGTTGAATTCTCATTCTTGAAGAATAATTATTGTTGATCCCCCCCCACCGGTGCACATTGATTTTTTTCGATTGAAGTGCCACCCCCGGGGCTCGCACCTTGTTTTTTTCTCAAGGAAAGTCTTCATGCTCAAACTGTGCCCCTGCCCCCCGGGCTACAACAACAACGGCTCCCGCCTGAGACTTCCTCGAATTTTACTCAGGACCCCCGCTCCCGCCTGAGACTTCCGCGCAATTTACTCAGGAAAGGCGCTCCCGTCTGAGACCTTTAATGTAATCAAGACCCCCGCTCCCGCCTGAGACTTCCGTGCAATTTACGTGGGAACGGCGCTCCCGCCTGAGACTTCTTCGAATTTTACTCAGGACCCCCGCTCCTGCCTGACATTTCCGCGCAATTGACTCAGGAACGGCGCTCCCGCCTGAGACTTCCTCGCAATTTAGTGAGGACCCCCGCTCCCGCCTGAGACTTCCGTGCAATTTGCTCAGGAACGGCGCTCCCGCTTGAGACTTCCTCGCAACTTAGTCAGGGCCCCCGCTTCCGCCCGAGATTTCCTCTCAATGTACTCAGGACTGCGCTCTCGCGTGCGACGTCCTCACAAATTATTATGGAGTCGCGTTTCGGCGCTCAGGAACCACGCGCGCGCCAAG